ACTTCCTTTGCTTCTTACTGTTGATTCAGAATTCAGACAGGGAAGACCCAACACCCAGTCCTAAACCTGCTCTAGCGTCCAGTCCACAGCGGTCAGCGCGTGGATGGACTTATGATTCAAGCCAGCCCATCAAAGTCCTTGGTCTACACATAATGCCCATGGACCCTGCCCCATGGACTCGAGCCTGGCCACACCAGCAAAGACAAGGGAAATACATCGGGTGGAGAAGTCACCTCAGAGGTGCCATGTTCCCTGTTCCAGACCCGATGCCTATTCGTGAAGCTCCCCCTTTTCCCATGAGCTCCCAGTACTACCCCCCACCAGGGAGCCAATAAAAATCCCTCTGGCTCCACCTAGTCTAACTGATCCCCGTCATCAGCAACCAAGAGAGGTCAGACCTGAAGTAAGAAAACTTGACTCAGAGACTGAGTGATCCTGCTAGGGATGAGGACTCCTCAGCTACAAAGCAGCAGGGACCGGGGTGCAGACCCAGATCTCCTGACTGCCGGTGTGGGGCCGTTTCCACCAACCACACCACCTCGATCTCTTTCCCCTTCAGCCTCGCCACCACTGCTTCTAAAACCCCAAATCCCCTCGACCCACTAATTCTCTGAAGCATTTGGGGCTCAGGAACGTTTCCTTCCACCACGCTGACCCCCTAGGATGCACGTCACTGCCTTGCCCCCTGTAGCTTCGGCCCTCGCCGTGCTGAACAAACTAGACGTCTGAGGGCAAAGAGGGCTTGAACTTGGCCTCCGGGCCCATCTTCTCACCCAAGGCAGATCCCCAGTTCCTTGCACCGGTCTCCTGGCCTGAGCTCTGGCTGGATTAACCACTCTGCCCTCAAAAGCAGCCAGTCTTCTTGATCAGGCCAGTCACATGTCAATCCCGTGCCAAAGCCCATCCAGAGAAGACCGGGTCCAGAAACGCAGGAGCCCAGAGGCACCTATGAGAGAGGCAGTGAGGGCAAGTGGGCACGGGTCTCCTCCTCTGCCTTCTTCTTCTCTTCCAGAAAGCAAGCCCTGCGTCACCAAGATGGAAAGCTCCCAGACACTGGTCGGATTCAAGAAAATCACATAAAGAATAACAAGGGATTATGTGGGGATGGGACAGGGGACTGGAGCCTGCTAACCAGGAAGAAATTCCGGGAGATGATGGACAAAGTGGGGGTAAATGGCACAGCATTCGACAAGGATCAGCAGACAAAGTCCCTTTCCTGGGGGACAGGACGAGGGCGTCACAAAGTATATTCTGCCACAGAGAACCTGCAGGGGGCAGAAGCACCTGTTTTCTTTTCTTTCTTTTTTTTTTTTTTTTGCGGTACGCGGGCCTCTCACTGTTGTGGCCTCTCCCGTTGCGGAGCACAGGCTCCGGACGCGCAGGCTCAGCGGCCATGGCCCACGGGCCCAGCCGCTCCGAGGCATGTGGGATCTTCCCGGACCAGGGCACGAACCCGCGTCCCCTGCATCGGCGGGCGGACTCTCAACCACTGCGCCACCAGGGAAGCCCAAAACCTGTATTCTTTTAGGTGAGAAGAGCCCCTATGTTAGCGTAACCTACAAAGCTAGAAGGGTGAAGCCCCACCAAGGCCCTATTGGATATTCTTGGGTTAGGTGGGCTCATTTCCAATCAGCGCGGGCTTAGGGCTTGTAAATAAGGAGCCGCCAGCACATCATTGAGGTGCAAATAGTTTACACATTGTGTAAAGGCAGCTAAACGTCTGTCTCTGAAGGTCTGTCTTCCTAATTAGCTGAGTATCTCCCCAGCAACACTTCCGTGCTACTAACCTGTTCAAAAGACATTTCGGACAGGGCAGAGGCAAACCTCGGCACAGCTGCCCACGCTATTAAGAAAAACAAACAAAAAGCCAAAAAACGACTCTCCAAGAACGGGGTCCCATCTAGTGAAGAAAAACCGCCCTCCCAACCTGGCTGTTCTCCGTGGAAAAGAACACAAGTCAGCTCGTATGACGGCAAACTCGTGTTTGACTTGTGGGTGGAGGGTGGACCGTGGAAAGAAGAATCTGCTGGCACCGCCAGGGAGGCACAAGGGGAAATTCCAGGCCTCAGTTTGCCACCACCTCCCCACTCTCCAGATCAGCAACAGTGATTCGGACACAGGAGCCGCCTGTTCCCCCCTGCCAGGGTTAAAGGGGAAGAAAGCTACCGTGGCTGTGAGTCCCAGACGTTTCCCTTTGCTCACCTTTTCAGCGTATGCATCTGTGTGTGTGTGTGTGTGTGTGTGTGTGTGAGAGAGAGAGAG